CTGGAGGTGTTCAAGGCCAGGTTGGACGGGGCTTGGGGCGACCTGGGCTGGGGGGAGGTGGCCCTGCCCAGGGCAGGGGGGGACACTGGAGGGGGGTTTAAGATCCCTTCCAACCCAAACCGTTCAGTGATTCTATGGCAAACCTGTGTCATTCCCCAGGTAGAGCTCAGCCCCTCATGGAAAAGAAGCAGGGGGAGGAAAACATCCTCGCTTGCTCTTTTCAGCTACGGTTGTGTTTCGTTGTGGTTTATCACAGCTCTGCCCACAGGGGTGGTGGGGAGGCTGCACCTCCCTCCAGCCCCCCAGGTGCTCCCGTTTGGCTTTGTGGGTGGGGAAATGCAACCCGTTCTCCCATCCTACGCACTTAATTAACCTAATCAAGCCTTCCCCCTGCCCCTCTGCTTCCCTGCCCATAAAAGCAGCAGTGCCGTATCCTACTGCAGCTCTGCTCCATCCCAGCGGAGCCCACTGGGGATGCTGTGGGATGCTCTCCAGCGTGTGCGTAAGTCAGGTCACCTCTCCGCCTCCCCCGGGTCCCGGCCAACATTAAACACCTCTGACAGGCTCCCAGAGAAGAAGCAAAGGCTCTCCCCTGCCTTTCAGATCCACTTGCTAATTACAAACTGCGTTCATTTTAGCACCCTGCTATCCCATAATTGATGTTGGATACCTCTCACAATGAGCCTGATTTAAATGTATACATGTTTCTCCTTCTCCTGAAACCCTGCTGGCTGTGAGACACCTAATTAACAGCAGAGCTTTCAAAGTCTCCCTAACAAATGCATCCCTGTGTTTCTTAGCACAAGGACTCTCATTAGTGAAGCTGTGCTTTGTGATTATTTATACCCCTTCTATAATTAAAAATTCTGAAAGCTAATTACAATTATCCATCAGTTTTTCAACATACCGGGACTAGAGATTTTAACCTCTTTTACCATTGTTTTTCTTTGTTAACCGACATCCCCTCGTCCTTCGGGCAGGGGTGTGCACCGACCCCCTCCCCGGCTACCCCTCTCCCGTACCCTCCCCGCGGCTCCAGCTCGCCTTCCCCGCGCGCTCCGTAGCCCATGGTTATTTGCTTTCACGGCGCGCTTTGCTCCGTTGCTGCCAGCGATGGTGTTTGCTTTGGTATGTGCAAGTGGAAGCGAGCGGCACCGATTGCTCCGGGCTGCCGAGAGCCGCGGGAGCGCGCCGGGTGCTCACGCGTGCCGGCCCCGCTGCAGCAAGTCTGCGGCGCCGAGGAATCTATGTGGCAGCAGTTGTGTTCCCCTCCCCGGACCAGTTGCCCACATGCCCCTTCTCTTTAGGTTTAGGCCCGTTATCCCCATTGCCATGGCAACCCAGGAGTTGAGCTGGGTGCTGCATCCCCCATCGCCGCCCACCGGTGCGTCGCCCACCTTCCTTGCTCCCCCCTCGTGTCGTGACTGCCCGAAGCACCTTTTGGGGTTTCGGAGCAGGACTGAATAGGGACTGTGAAAAATGGCTTTCGAATAGAGCGTGTTCCCTCCACGGGCTGAGTCTGGGAAGTCATAATCTTAATATGAACATCTTTAAATATCCTTACTAATGGGCTCATTCTTTAATTTCCTGAAGCAATGACAGTTTCAACAGACCCTATATCACAGCTAAGATGGGATCTGTCACTGAATGGCTGAATTATATTTCATCCTTTATTTTTATCAGCTCCGCTGACTTATTTATTACATTTAGAGTCTCGGCTGGCTTTTGTCTGGCCCGTACTTTGCCGCTGCTCATAGAGGAAAAAGCAATAGTTTATAAAGCCATTTTCACAGCGTCCCCATAATTTCAGGCCATGTCTGAGGCTTCATTTTGAATGAAACTCTGTAGATAAACTGTTATTCATGGTGATGCCTGTGAAGTCCTTGGCAGCCCCCAGAGAACGCTGCCTGCTTATAAAGGGCTTTCCCTCAGATTTATTTTGGAAGAACAAAGGGCAATTTTCCCATCTCCGCAGCAGCAGCCCACGTGGCAGATGCCGCTCAGGGTGTTATCTTGCAGCACTTTTTTTTTTTTTTTCTTTTATTGAAAACGTAATAAAATCCCAGGCTGCGTGTGGCCGGAGAGCGAGCCCTGGGAATTGCTTCCCGCGCCGGAGTTGGTGTGTTTGCAGCCGGCGGCTGCTCCGCGGGTCAGTGCCGGTGCCGGGCTCTGGGCAGGGCGGTGGGAAAGCCTCCGCGGGTTTCCCCGTGGGACATCCCTGGTGGTCCTGCCCCGCTGCCGGCGTTGGCAACCGGTGCCTTCCCCCCAGAGCCGTCCTCCGAGAGCCTCACTCGGCAGTTCAGCCTGAAACAAATCCCCGCCAGGATTTAAGCACCGGGGCCTGACGGATACGGGGGTTATGGAGCCAACAGAGCATTTGGCCGTGTTGTCCTGGATGCGGTCCCTGCGCTCCCCGCTCCGCTCGTGTCTTGGCTGCGGTGTCGCGCGTGTCCCCGGGAGCGGTGAGCATCTCCCAGCCCGGGCGCTGCCGGCACCGCGGTGGGCGCAGCTGCTCCGCGGCGCCGGGGATGGCTCAGCACCATCTGCGAACCTCACCGGCCTCTCCCGCTCGCTGAGCGTGTCAGGGCAGGTCCCCGTGGGGCGCAGGGACGAGCTGCCGGCAAACGTCGGTGACCCCCAGGCAGCCACAGTTGTGGGGACAGGGAATTTTTCCTGGCAGAAGAGGAGAGCAGAAAGGAGCCGGGGGAGCGGAGGTGAAGCACATGAGCAGCTCCGAGAGCTTCTCCCGAGACCCGGCAAGTGCCAAAGTTAATACATTTAATATATTTTGTACGCACTATGCCAGCCATTAGAAATGCGCTTGTTCTGTCATTGCTCTGAGGCAATCACGGTGAAGCATTTGTCCTCTGAGTGCACCGGGAAAAATTAGAGTGCCCTGAGCTGAATTGGTCAGCTAAAAATAATGTACAGCTTCATCCTTGGAAGGAAATTGGGCATTGATTGGAGGACAGAAGTTCGGTGCAATACTTAAAGCAATGTGACATTTCCATACATTAGGGAAGCGTGCGCGGTAGGCGTAATTCAGGGCGTAAATCACTGGTTCCCGGTCACGCTCCTGCACGAGCCTTCGCCCGTGGCCGGAGGAGAGCGGCTCTCGCCGGGCGCCGTGTCCCGTCCCACGGGAGCAGCCGCGGTCCTGCCGCGGAGGTCGCGGCAAGGATCGGCGATTTAGTACCACCGTAAAACCTTGAGCGGGGGAATGACGGGAAAGCTGATACAGTCATTAGCACATACTGGTTTGTCAGCCGCAGGGGGGGAGGCGGTGGAGCAAATTAGCTTGGGTGTAAATGCAGGCAGCTGCCAACCTGGACCCGGCCTGACCCGCTGCCGTCCCTCCACCGCCGCTGTACAGCTCAGCACGGGCAGGGTGGGATGAGACACCTACGGGGGACTGCTTCAGTTTTCAGGTGTAGGGGTTTTGCATCGATGGCGTATTTCCAAGTCTTTTAATATTATTGTTATTAAAAATCTCCTTAGCAAGTGTTTATATTCCTTCAGTTCCCTTGCCAATGGATATTGAGAAGGGAAAAAAACAACTTCTGGCTTAGGTAATTATGAGATTGCTTCTATTGCTGCTGGCACAACGGTGGGAGTATCTGAGCTCGATTGCTTCCCGGAGAAAGGCTGAAGAAAGAGCCAGAGGAGAGCCTTTGCTAAAGCATCCTGCTAGCACGAGGCACTGGGCAGCTGCCTGCACGCTGCCTGCACGCT